ATCAGTCCAGTTATCCATTTTTTTTTTTTTTTTTTACACAGCCGGTCCAGCCTGAACTGCTTATCTTGGTTACAGCCATTACAAATCCTGCTGTCTTAGTGTGAGAGCCAGACAGAAGGCTTTCTCTGAAAGCTTTGGTTTTATTTAGCATTCCTCAGAGGTTTATGGGCAGGTGTTTAAAATTAAGAGCAGGATATTTATTGGAAACTTTCGGAAGGCACACAACTTTTTCTTTTGCTTACCTTCAATTAGACATACTCAGCAGACATATGAAGCGCAGGCCATTGCACACATAGACTCCTCACCCTCCACATTGTAGAACAACTGAACAAATGGATACAGTGCTAACTCCTGTTATTTTCCCCACACTCGAACCATTAGATCAGGCCAATGTGTTTTTTAGGGAGAGGTTAGGAGTGTATTTTTGACCTGTAATTATCAGGGCTTAGCTGTACCATACTTTGCACAAATCAAGGTGCAGCTCTGCAGCTCTAGATCCCTGTGCCAGGTCTAAATTGCAAGTTACTGGGCCTTGATATCAAATGAGAGGAGAAATGTAAAATCCTAGTTAAAACCTGGAGCCTTAAAGAGCCATGAAGTGCCTGTAATGAGGAAAGTGATGGGGTTTGGGTGTGCTGAGCACACAGTTACAAGGAGGATGTATTTGAGTGAGAGTCCCTGTGACAGTTGTCCTCCCTAATCCAGGATTTATAGAGGACTCAGAAAATTTAACAAGGTTAAACCAGTAGGCAGGTTAGCAAAGCATAACAGAAGCATGCCTTAACAAAAACTAGTAGGCAATAGACAACCTGTGAATTCAAGTAAAACTAATGTGCTAAACTTTTTTCAACATTTGTTCATTTATGTATGATCTACTTACACCCCATTGGCGTTTAGGGGTGGGATTAGGAGTATACTTTCATGCTTTAAAGCAAACATACAAACAAAACTAAGATTTCATACCAATCAAATCGAACAAATTCGCATTTCGCACACAATTCACCAAAATGTAGAACAGTTTTCCTCATGAGATCGTGTTAAGTGAAACAGTAGCCTAAATTGATACTGTCCTATGTGGTTCCTGAAATTATGAACTTTATCTTTGTTTTTATGCCCTGTTAGGCATTTGTACGACTGCTACACTAATGGCTGTATTTTGCAGAGCCTAATAAGTCAAAAATGCATCTGCCCTGGAAAAGCTGAATAATGCCAGATATTAATGGAGCTGGGCCCTGAATGATTCCCGGGTTGGCGTGGCAGTTAAACGCATTCCAGGTTTTGTGGAGGCCATTATTCCTGCTCCTTAATCACCACCTCTGCTTTTATTACCCCCAAAGCCTTACTGTGTGGCTCAGGGAAACCACATGTGGGCACAGACCAGGAAATGTTGAGCAGACAAGAAAATGTCTTCCTATCCCCTTAAAAGTAATAGCCTTAACCAAACACCAAAGGCAGTCTGTTCTTAACCAGATTTTGTTGTCTATAACCGTTTATGAGATTTTGGATGCAGTACTGGCTAGATGGTTGAATATTGTTTTTCAGAATGATTTTTTTTTGGACATTTATCATATTTAGTACAAATGATTCTTGGAGGTTTTGTTTAGTTTAGACGGCTTAGTTTTCATGTCATTTATGGTTGTGTTGAAGGAGAGCTGAAAACCTTTTATAAGTCTGTAACTTGCTTTTTTAAATAGTATTTTAACTCATTACTCGCCTTGAAAATAGCCCGAGGAAGGAAGCTGAAACAAGTCCATTTTAGACGTTTTAGATGTCTCTCTATTTAACAAGCTGATGAGTTGAATTAGGTGTTTTAAATAGCGAGCCATTCTGGAATGTTGGTCCCTAGGATTGGAGTTGAAAAACACTGATATGTATTCACTTATTAGCAATTTTGTCTGAGTAATAGACTTTTACTGAAGGTTATCATAATAATCATTTAATCACTGCAGGTATCTACAATTATGCATTCTGAATGGGGAATCATGTTGCATGCTAGAAATATGATGATAGTTGCAGGTTAGGATTCACTATTGGGTGTCAGCATTTAGTTTTTATTATTATTATTATTACCACTCATTGAGTCAGTATTGATTCAGTCTTTTATGTACAATTTTTACATTTAGATGACAGCAAATATAATCTAAAGTTTACCTAAAGTTAAAAAAACTGAAATAATTTAAATTTCAACGTTATGAACATCCATTTTCTTTATACAGTACTTCAAAATAATAATTTTGTGCACTACATTATATCGTTGTGATGCCTTAATTCACAAACTAATAAAGAATTTTAATAACAGGAATTTATCAGCAATATCATGAAAACCATTATTTGCTTATTGGTCAGCCAGAATTTTAATAACAGTGCATCCCTACCCGCAGTTTTTTATTAGTGCACAGAGTAATGTGAAGCTGAAGTTTACGTAAGTGACGTAACCTATTTAGATTACACTAATTTAACAAAACATGAACATTTACTTGTTCATTTTCTGCAGAGCCCCAATGTGATGAAACATATTTGCAATATTCCTCCTTGCATAAGTGACTACTTTATTTAATCCCATTTTTATAGGGATGACAATGTATTTTAGAATAAAAATAATGCGTTCTTCCTCTGCCGGTCAGAAATATCTGCAGTCGATAAAGTGGCAGGTGTAGCAAAAAGTTAATTTTGGACCTTAGCTGCATGTAATCACAG